GTCAACTTCGCGGGGACGAATTTTATTCGACCGGAGCGTCCTCCGAAGTCCAAAGTAGGCCCAATTCCCTGCCATAATGCGTCTTTGAATTTCTCTGCTGATATCATTTTCGGCGGTCATCAGTGAGCCCAAATACATGAACTCATCGACCAACTCGATTTCGTCACCGTCAATCTGAACTCGGGGTGGGAGGCTAACATTGTCTTCCCTAGAACCTCTTCCTTTCATGTATTTTGTCTTCGATGCGTTGATGGCAAGTCCAATCCGCCTAGCTTCAGCCCTCAGTCTTATGTACGTCTCCGCCATCGTTTAAAACTGCCATGCCATGAAGTCAATGTCATCGGCGAAGCCAAGAAGCTGGATGGACTTCCTGAAGATCGTGCCACTCGTGTCTATCCCAGCTCTTCTGATCACACCTTCTAACGCGATGTTGAACAGCAGATACGAAAGTCCATCACCTTGCCGTAACCCCCTTCGAGATTCTAAGGGACTCGAGAGTGTCCCCGATACTCGAACAACGCACATCACTCGATCCATCGTCGCCTTGACCAATCGCGTCAGTTTGTCCGGAAATCCGTACTCGTGCATAATCTGCCATTGCTGCGGATTTGAAATCGATGAACAAATGATGTGTGGGCACGTTGTATTCGCGGCATTTCTACAGAACCTGCCGAATCGCGAACATTTGATCCGTGGTAGCGAGGGCACCCATGTATCCCGCCTGGCATTGCCCCACGAATTCTCTTGCATATGGTGACAGGCGGCGGCATAGAATTTGAGAGAGTACCTTGTAGGCAGCGCTCAGCAGTGTGATCGCGCGGTAGTTGCAGCAATCCAACTTGTCGCCCTTTTTGTAGATTGGGCATACGACACCTTCCCTTCACTCACTTGGTAGTTGATCTACACCAGTTGCTTTGTTGTTCTTCAGCCGAGCGATCTCCTCCTCAACTTCTTGAAGATCAGGGGCCGGTAGCCTGTCGTCTTCTGCGCGTGCTCCAAGGTCTGTTCCCAAGTAACATCGCAGGTTTTATCGCGCTCTTATAGCATTTTACAAGTCTAAATCATGGTCTACAGAACCCTCATAAAACCAAAATTGTTACTTAGGTTGCCGTGCCACCTTCGTTTTCTGCTGCATCACCGTTGAGGTGCTCGTCATAGTACTGCTTCCACCTCTCAATCCACATTCACACTCGTTCGTGAGCAGTAGACTGCCAGCGAAAATGGTAATTTTTAATTTCGCTAACAAACCATATACAAAATGTTTATTGCCTCGAAAAATTACCCTATGCAAAATTTGAGCTCAATCGGACATGATTTAGGGGTGGCGCAAACGCGTCAAAGTTTGACTTTTTTCACTCTCGAAAATCTCCCAAGGGAGGGGGGGGTTACATGAAATTTCGGAAATCAAAATTTTTTTTTTTGATGTCAAATGTCTTAAAAATGCATGAATCTTCGAGATTTGGGATGGGTATGGATGATGATTTTTTTTTTAAATAGCTATTTCGGAAATAGAAAGATTGGCGTTATTGGAGTTTTATGAAAAACAAATTAGAGAGCAACACCACCGTGGTGATTACCGAGAGGTTCTACAACTTGCCTTTTTATATTTGGGTGGAAAAATCGATGAAAAATTACAAATAAGAGCTCCTGGTGCGTTCCACAATGCAAGGTGGACGGCCAAAATCATTTATTCTTTGAAAATGTTTATTCTTTGGCATGAATTTGCTTTACCAGATAAAACTAAAAATCAACTAGCTCGATTTTGTGTGTTCATTGTAAAAATTTATTTGAAAAGTTGGTTTCTTTTTCCGTGTGCTGCGCACCCAACAATGATCTGGACCTGAATCCAACGATATTTCAACGATTGAACTACACTCGTTTGTACAAGGCAGAAGTGGTATTGAAAACTTATTCAAAACTCTCCAAATTCCGAAGTCGTTGCTGAATGTCGATATGGAGCAGTGGAGTAGTTCCATCGAGTTTAAAAATGCCAAAAGACGGGTTCAATGTTTGGAAGTAGTTAATGATAATGCAGAGCGTGGTATAGCATTGATTAAAACATACAATTCAAAACTATCAACGGATGAAGATCAAAAGCAGTGCATTTGACAATTAGTTGAAGATCATCGAAAAAATTATAAGAGTACCAGGAAATCTGATTTGGTGTAGCTAATAAGGAAATATATGGTAAAGGATAAAACAAGTATTTTATCATCTTTTCAGGCAAATGTTCCTCTTGTATAAAACTCATGATTCCCAAAAAAAACAGATTAACGCAATTCAAGATATTTTTACAATTGATTTTAGGAATTTCTCATGAAAATTTGTGGTTTTTCATATATTTTTGAATTTTTGGACCACCCTAATGAAGAATAATTGGACCACCCTAGTGAATTATTTCGTATTAGATCCTAAATGGTGGTTTAATTCGATATATAGGCAGGTTGGAGACAATTGTGAACAGTTTTAGAAGCCGACTCATCAATCTTCGATATTCCATATAGAACTTATAAAAAAAAATCCCAGAAAGTCGATTTTTGAAAAAAAAATTTTTCGTGATAACACCAAATCTCGACGTTTCATGCATTTTTAAGACATTTGGCATAAAAAAAAATTCGATTTTCGAGCGTGAAAAAAGTCAAACTTTGACGCGTTTGCGCCACCCCTAAATCATGTCCGATTGAGCTCAAATTTGGCATAGGGTCATTTTTCCAGGCAATAAACATTTTGTATATGGTTTGTTAGCGAAATTTGATGGTCAAATTTTTCCCATACATTCATTGGCAGTCTAGTGAGCAGGTTACCATCCAAGTCCTTGCACATATCGGCTTGCGTCCCCGATATCCTTGGTACTGCAATTTGTTCCTCGGAATTTCTTCCTACAATTTATGTGACCCCCTTTGAAGATCTCTGAACTTCCCGACGTTTTCTGAATCTTTAGTGAAGTTTCCGAGATTTTTCTTAAGTTCTCAATATTTTTTGAAACTTCTAAGTTCTCATGTGGTTTGTGGTTTTCAAAATTCTAAAATTTAAGGAAGTTCTGGGAAATTTTCTCAATTTTCCTGAAAATCATGGCCTGAGTTCGCATCGCTCAACTACTCGAAGCTACTTATCTTCCCTTAATATATTGTAACTCAACTTAAGTTTAGGAAACTTATGTAAAGCTTCTGCAATTTTCCTAAAGTTAATAAAACTGCCCTGAAGTACTTTGACCTTCACTGAATTTCTATAAATTTTCCTGAAATCTATCGAACTACCCTGAATGAAAACTTGCGCGTAGCTCTGGACGTTCTTGAAGTTTTACGAAAGTACCCTCAAGTTTTCAAAACTTCCTCTAAACAAAATACGCGTTTCTCAAAAAATTCAATAAATTCTAATTTCTGAAAGTTCCCGCAATTTGTCTGATGTTAATGGAACTAGCAAAAAACTTTCAATATTTTCCAGGATATCTTGGAATTTCATTAAAATGTACGCCCTTTTTCTGACGTCCATGGGACGTCTAACTTCTTTGAGGTTTTCTGGTAGTTCTTGTTGTTTGTTTTAAGTTAATTGAACGGTGTTTAAGTTCTCAAATTCAAGCAGCGTCGGTGGTGTAGTCGTAAGCGTGACTGCATCTCACTCCAAACGGCTTGGGTTCAATCCCAGTCGGCGCCGTCGGGATTTTCAGAGGCATACGGGCAGTATAGCCGTTGGTCCCCGGTTCATGAGCTGATGGGAAAACAAATCAAGGAAAAAAAAGTAGTCAAGCACCACTAATTAGACTCCATGTCTTAGAGGTACGATGTAATTAAAGTTTAATGCTGCTTTAAATTTGTTAAGTGTATTCCTTATGTTTATGGGTATTTGAGTTGCTATTTTTTTCTAATGGGGTGGATTTTGTGGATTTGAAATAGGGATTTCTGTAACAACCCTGTAACAAGGGTCAACTTTTCTTAAATGTTATTATTCGGCAAATTGTTGATGCACTGTAGATGAGTCCTCCTGGTTTTTATTATACTTTTGCATGGATCTAGACCAACCCAGCTTGAGTCAAGTCAGTGCCTCTGATTAAAAATAAATTTCAGTATGAACACATCACGCTTAGACAAATAATAAGTCATTCTCTCCTAAAAATACACAACCGAGTAAATAACCAAACCAACTAATAATAATCCTTTCGACATTGGGATTCCAGTCGCCTATGGAACAATTTTGATCCTTTTCAAAAAACCGGCAAGAACAAGTACTTTTCGCACTCACGCGGTTTGAGAACATTATCAAAGGCACTTTCCTCGACGGTGGTGTGGTACCATCACATGTGTAGTACACAGAATGGTGAAATTATGAACTTTCGCGGCTTGACAAACAAATCCTTTTTTTTTCCTTTCTCAGCCGCCCGACCATCCCAACACCAACCGTCGACCCAAGCAAATAAATCGAAAACTTTCTCCGAAATTTCCGACATGTATTTTGCATTTTCTTCAAATTAATTTATAAATTTAAATGTAAATAAAAATCTATAAACACACTATGCGAGCGAGCGCACTGCTTTTAATCCTTTTTGCCCCCCCCCCCCTCGCATGAAAGGATATAGGTGCCTGATGTGCGCACACCAACCTACCGACGATTGTTTGCCTCGGTTCGCAATTTAAGGCTTCTTCCAACGCACCGCAGAGAACGGCGGAACATCGCTTGTACATTTAGGCAATCGCTATTTCAAACACACGCGGAACCGCATTCGCAGCCTACGACGGCGAGGACGACATAAGAAGGCTTATTCCGTCAGATCCCGGGAACGAACGCACATATGCTTTAACAGCGCCAGTTCAGAAATTCACGGCTTTTCGTGGTAGTGCGGCTACTGGTTATGGTAAATAAATAAACGGTGAACGGCGTTTGCGAACTGCTGAGAGCGGACCATTTTGCGGTTTACCGTGGAATACTTTCTTGAGATGATTTGATTTGATTTCGTTTGTAAAATTGATTGCTAACTTCATTTTCCATCTCTCCTTTTCTTTCAGCTCCTACAACCTGGACGAACATCTCTTCGCCGAAAATCCAAATCTCGAGATCCTGCAAATCCGTTGGCATCCGGCCTCGCCGACTGACTCCCACATTTTGACTCTCCTATCGGACAACTCGATTCGGTACGTATACGACCAAACGACCCCCACGGCCATTGTCACACGGTTGTGTGTTCTGTTAATTTATAAGACACATCCCGGAATCCTCGTCCTACAGCGCTAATAGAAAACCGTTCCCATTCAACCTCCTCCTAGTCTAACAGGATGTAGAACAGCTCAGCAGAGAGTAATTTCAGCTTGTTTGCTTTAGAAAAGCCTACGTATGTAGGCACGACCAGCAGCAAAAATCATCGCCTCAACCACTGTTTTCTCATTATTCCCTCGCTTTCTAGTCTGTCACGCTTGACCTAACCTCAAAAACCCGTCCGACCGCGGTCAACACCACCACCGACCGTCGTGGTCTTCGTTGTCATCTGCGCCCTCGTCTTTTTCAATAACCCGTCGTCGTCGTCCGTTCGTTTGCCCACAGGACAAAAAACCGACAACCATATATTAGGCCGCGACAAGAACAACGTCGTCAAGTGGTTCACAGTGGAACCGAATCCTCCCTTTCCCCAGTACTACCTACTAGACCCAAAAGCAATAATAATCAACTCAAGCTCGAAAGCCCCGCGCCCGGCCTATCACCTCTCCCATGATACGTAGTTTCATTTTCTCGTTTCCAGCGTCTACGATGTGGACTCGCTACGACATGTGTGGCGTGTTGGTCCTTCGCCAGGACTTGTTAGCACCCTGGCCGGTTCTCCACCGGGCCCCGGATCCGCGAAGCTGGCCTATCTCAGCAGCCTCGGCGACACGGCCGTTGATTTTGACATTGCACCGCCACGTGTGGTTTCGGCGGCGACAGCGATGGCGACCGGCAGCAGCGACGATACGACGCTCTCGAGGACGGTCACCATGATGCGGGACAATCTGAGCATTTCTTCGGCGACGGTCAGTATCAGAACATCGGTATGGTGGTCGTTTGGGTGTGAATGTTTTGCTAGAGATGTTCAGTGATATGGATTATGGGGTTAGGAGGTTTGGATTGGCGAGTATTAACTAGATGAGCCATTGAGCCTCGTAGTCGTGCTTGCATCAAATTTTAGTTAAAAGGGAAAGACTAGATGATTTGTTTTGTTTTTTAATCTTCACGAAATTTTCGAACTTCAAATAAGGTAGATGCAACGTAAATCCATTCACGGTGTGTAACCCAACTAAATCTTTATCCACCAAGGAAGGCTGAACAACTCTTTTTAAATTTATTTTGTTTGCTAAGTAGCCATTAATTAAGGAACAAACATGTATAATAGGGTGGGTCAAAATTCCAATTGTGCAAAATTTGCGGGGGAATTTTTAATTGCATATGGGAAAATGTATGGTAATGACACAAAACTATTCATTTGCTTGTCAAAAGTTAAAAAATTGCTCAATTTTAACCTCGGACTTGAATTGGGAATACAGAACAACTTTGTCTAAGACTGCAGGAATTCCTTTTGATTTTCACTCAGAATTCCGCTTGAAAGTATTTTTCAGACATTCCTTTGAATTCTTGACACAATTCTCTTGGAATTCACCTGAAGTTTTGCGTAGTTCTTAGTGAAAGTTATGAAAAAGTAATGTTCAAAATTTCTAATTTTTGCTTAAACTCTTACCCCATCTCATACCTGAACCTCACCACAGGGCTCCGTGCTAAAATCCAGAATGCCGGACAACGGCGGTAAAGTCGAGTGGCCCATCATAATCCTGCTGGGTGACGGTAATGTTTACATCCTCTGCGCCGGCATCGATACCGATCGTCCAAGACTGCAAGGTCCCATCTCGATCTTGCCTCAAGTCGAGGACAACTACGGTTTGGATTCCTGCTCGCTCATTGTAGTACCGTCGCTTCCGCCCACCATAATTATCGCCGAAAGCAATGGCAAAATCCACCACGCTTTGCTGCTGGAAGAAGAATCCCCAGCTGAGCGATCGCTCGGCGAGCTGGACTCCAGTTTGGTCATCTATCCCTCCGAATGGTACCTGCAGGTACTGGAAACGGTAGAACTCGAACTCGGGCTCACCGGTGTTGACGAAGCAAAGACGTACTCCTGTCCGATCCACTTGAAGCGCGATATGCTCAACGAAGCCCGGTACTTTGCGTATCACGACGCTGGACTCCACGCGATCACACTTGATTTCACTCGCCAGCTTGTACAGTTTGTGGAGAACGAAGAAGACACCAGCGATCGGTATCCACTGTTCACCTCCCAGAGCCGCGCCGAGTATGTTGTATGTACAAAAGCTCTTCTGAACATGAGCTCCAACCCCGTTCTCGGATTCGCACTGTTGCAGTCCCCTTCGGGAATCTTGCTGCAGCTGGCTTCCGGCCAAGTTGTAACGATGGATCTGATCAGCGATCACAGTTTGATACGCGAATCGAAGGTCTCGTCTGGTTTAAAGTACTCGTCGGCTACAGATTCTTCGCTGAAGCAGCTTCTGAAAGATCCCTTCCAGGATCGAATTCAGTCGATTCTGAAATCGGGAGCTACTCAGCCCATCTTGAAACTGGACCAATCGTCGGAACCAACGCCGCAGGAATCGTTTGAACTGTTAACTCAGGCAACGAGGATGCTACGAGAGCACTACTTTGTCAAACACGAGAAAGCCCGTCAGGAGATCGAGAGGAGAGTTCACGTGCTGAGGCTGCTCAAAGATCAACAGCTGAACGAGATCGCTCAGCTGCAGGAGGAGAAGCAACAGATTCGCGAAACGGCAGAACGGTTGGCTGAGAACTATGAAGATATCTGCGACAAGCAGAATGCGTTGTTCAAGAGGTAGTTTAGAAATGGCAATAAGTAGCTTTCATGTGTATGATTTTACTTTCCGTCGATTTAGGGCCCAGGAAGTGGTGAGACTGGCAACTCTGCGCCTCCCAAAGGGATCGTTCTCGGAGAAGAAGTACGCGGAAATGATCGAAAAAATTGGCAACGCTACCAAACTGCTGCAGAAGAACGTTGACCAGGCCAAGCAGAAGATTAGCGCCCAGCAAGTTCAGGTGGAACAGAAGCAAAAGGCGCAGAATGAGAAGATTGTGACGCTGCCCAGCAAGCAGGAGGAAATCATCAAGCAGATCATCGGAGAAATGTGAGTGGCAGATTCGATCGCAGTAGGGTTTCGTCTAGTAGTAGCTTATTTAATATTTACTTTGAAGGTACCTCCAAATCGATGGATACGTTAAGGATGTGAAGAAGATCAACAACGTGCTGAATTTGGCTTGAATGGAACCTATCAGTCGTAGGCTTCAAAATATAGCATTTTCCGTGGGTTCACCTAACGTAAGTATAAGTACCACAGCATTGACTCTCAACACTTTTAATCTGTACCCTGTTTCATACATAATGGCTAAATAAAAAGTAAGAAAGTTCATCGAAATGGTTTGATCCGTGCCGAACTGCCTTTAACATTGGAAAGTATCTAAGCGCTCTTTCTCTCACTTTGTCTGTTGTATATGTTTATTTAATGAAATCATCATTTTTTTGTTAATGGAACTGACTTGCGATTAGTTTACTTTTCGCCGTGGGATAATTTGACTTGGTATTGTTTTTGACATTTCCTGAACAAACCTCCTCTTTGTTTTCAATAGCACAGCTTAAAAAAGAATGTAAGCTGAATAATGATGCTAATTCAAAATTGATAAAAATGCAGTTGGGACTGAGTTGCGGTTACCGGAAGCACAGATGAGCGATGGACGTGAAAAATGAGATCCCCTCCTCGTTGCATTTCCTCAATCGGAAGGAGAATATGTGTTATGACGGAAATAAGCACAAATGCTTCCTATGTAAGCCGGAAGGGCACCGTTTACATTGCCATTCCGGAAGGAACCAAGAACACCAAGACGAAGAAAAGCAACAGCACAACGGAAAACAAAGTACCAGCAGTACGTACGAAGGTGCAGTGGCTGAAGGTGAGTCGTTGGACAACAACGATAAAAAAAAAACAAAGAAAGAGGTAGAGGTGCTTAAGGAAAAGTTACACGTTATGAACGAACCGTTTAATTTTCTGTTTAGCTACATATAACATAACATAACTCCATGATAAATCATATGTTTACATTAGTTTTTTTTTTCATTACCAGTTATGTTTTGTAACGATGTAAAATTCAATGTCATTTATTTTTATTTTTTTCTTATAGATGGTTTTGTGAGGTTATGGATAATATTTTCGGAACTCTATTTTCTTTAATTTTAGATTTATTTCCATATGTTAACTAGATACCCTGCACTTCGGTCGTCGTTGTGACAATTTGGCCGTGGCATATTTCAAGTATGAGAGAGTGATAGCAGTTATATCAAAAGTGTTAATCCGAACTTTTTGTTAGTGCGAACCTGATGAAACTGTCACTTCTTGAAACAGATCCCTTTCGTTTTTCTTTCATTCTCTTTTCGCACAATGATGTACGGAGCGCTCATTCCGAGTGCTCGGTGGACCAGCGACTTTGGACGTGAGCCTCGTCCCGGATGATCATGGCAAAACAGTGACAGATGGTGGACATGAAACAGACCAAACCAACCAGCGAGGAAGGAGTCAACCTCGAACCAGGAACGGAAATTAGTGTGAATTTATCTCCCTCGGAAATCAAGAAAAACCCGGAAAAGAGGGAATCATGTCAGTACCGACCAAGGACGATCTACGGAAGGAAATTGCCGGTGAAGCACGGAATGTAATACGAAGCGTTAGAGAAAAGATCAAAGGGATTCCAAAAGAATAAATCAACGGCAGCAGACCAGCGGAACATGGTGAGATCAGGCCAATTATCATAATTAAGCTAAATACGGGCTAGGTTTGAAAAAATATTTTCGAACCTGGAAGTTATAATGTAGTTAGCTAATAATAATTATGAAGGAGAAATGGCTCTAATCAACCTATGGATCTAAGATTGGGCCCTTCGCTAAAAATATGCTATTCGTCAATTTCATTTAGATGAACACGTCATTGGGACGGTACTAATGGATATTTTTGGTCGCTATTGAAAATTTAGTCGATTGCTGAATCTATGAATGGGCCCAATTAGGGCCTTTAGGCCGACATTACATCCATTTCCCCTGACTTCTTTTTGTTGGTTAAATGAAAAGATGAAAATTCGGCTTACACTTCCAGATCACAGTTGCTTCTGAGTTTAATACCTTTTTATATGTACAATAATGTTTGTTTGTGTGTGAAAAAACCCGAACGATTGATGATCGTATATCGAATGGGTTCAGCCTATTTACTGAGTACGTTACTCATTTTAATCGAATCGTGGTACGCTACAGTCCTTCCTCCTTAAGAACCTAGCTTGTATAATTAGTTATCGAAATTAATCTAATTCAAAAGTTCATTTTAGGTACACGAAATACATTTCAATTCAACAACAATTAATTCACAATCTTTGATAGCACTGTGTGCTTTACTATTAGATGACGCTGAAACTGGTCGGATTATGATGCTTCTGCTTAAATTTGATTTCGAGCGCGACTCCTAGTCATGACGCTCAGATTGCGTCTTTTGACTCTGAATAAATCCGGATCCAAGTCATCTTCCGAGAAACCCAAGAATGGCCCTTTCTCAGCCTCTGAGTAGCCTCGGTTCTTCCACGTTTCCGTTGGGTGAAGTCTGGCAGCGACAGTCTCGAATCCCGGACCTTGGTATGGGCAAACTTCAATTGGTTCCCGTGGGTCATAATCGTCGAACTTCTGTTGCTCCAGCATCAGCAAATGTTGTGCAAGCTTCTCCTTCAATTTGTACGGTACTGTATATGCCTTTTTGAAGACAGGCTGATCGTTCTTCATGATCAGTTCCCCCTCATAGCCTACGATAGGTTCTGAAAAATCTGCGTCAAAAATTTTCTTAAATTTCAGTTCTAAACTGTCTGCAATGTCATTAATACTATTTGTATCGTTCAGATCATTCACCAACAACGCATTCGTGAACCCAGATCTCCATCACGATCAAGCCATGATCTTCTAATCAAAAGAACAACATTGCTGTTTCCTTGCAGTACGACAAGTGTTTCTTGGTTTGCTAGACTATTCAACTCTACCTGCACAGAAATTTCTCCTAAAAGCTTCAAACGAGCACCATCAACAACAACAACAAGGTGCCTACTAGTGCTAGCCATTGAAATTCTATGTAAAAAAAAATTCCTACAATCTGTCTCACTGATTACTGAAACAGCTGAACCTGAATCAATTTCCATTTGCAACAAACAATTTTGCACTTTTGCTTTTCTCATGCATGGTTCATATATGCTTTTAACCGCTGAGATCATCATGCACTCCATTCCCTCCGTTTCTACACCTGAACTATCATGTCCACCAGACCTCTTGAAATCGTAACTCGTGTCCTTTTCATCCTTATCACCTAAATATCTTACAGAATTTCGGTTCTTGAAGCTGTAGCAGTCTCATCTCAGATGACCTCTCTTCTTGCAATAATTGCAAATTGCATTTGCGTAAGCACCCCTGTTCTGATTACCAGATGACTATCTTCTATGGAAACTAACTTTCTTATCATTCCTGTTAAGATCCCTACCCCTGTATGGTTTGTCGTACCTACCGTACTCTCGGTTACTCTCATCAACTATTTTCCCTAGTCTACTCTTTACTGAATGCATTTCGTCAGTTCTACGCTCACTAGTCATATCCTTTGTTTGCTTTTTAGCATCCTCACTGCTGAGTAATTTCTTCTCGATCACTTTAAGTGTCAGTGTCTCTGACATCAATAAAGACTTTTGCAGCTCTCGATCATGCATCCCAATAATTAAACGATCCCTGATTGCAGTCTCTTTGATTTGTTTAAAATTGCACAACTCTGCCTGCAGCTTCACTGACCAATTGAAGTTCTCAGCAGATTCATGTACTCTTTGAAAACGATTATAGAAATAGAACCTTTGCATCATATCAGGGTCGACTTTGTCGAACCGTTCCTTTATCTTTTTTTATCATATCATCATCAACTTTTTCTCAGACGACATTTCGATCATAAGTGACGATTTAGTGCTATAATTTAAAAATAATAATTTAAGCATTGCATAATTTTGTTCCAATTATAATCTTCACATAACCAGAATAAACAATACAAATATAACGTAAAATTAAAAAGCTACGGACTTTTTCCGTGACCGTTTTATAAAGTGAACAGTCCTTATGACATTTATTGGAAGTTGGCATGTATATAGCGCCTCGTAGTGGCATAATTCTGAACATATCTGTTCACTATTCGAAAGGCTCTGGATATTTGAACAACTGTTTCGATGCCAGAATCATTCCAGGTGGTCAGAGTATCGATATATAGCTCATTTTGGAAGTACATATGCAAACTAGCGCCGCGTAGTGAGTATATTTCCATCTATCCTGTCCACAATGTAGAAGGCCTTGATTAGCCGATCAACTTTGTCTAAAACAGCAACTTTTCAGATATTAAAGATCTGTTGCACATTCACCATCTCATCATTCGAAAGATTTTGGTTATCTAAACAACTTTGCCGAAGACAACACTTCCCATCTGCTCATATTGCCGTTATACCCATAGATGTCCCATGTTCTATACAATCCTTATGCATCGTGGGACAGTTATGCGTGTACCGGTTGTTGATTATGTAACGAATAGAAAGGTCAACTCCGAAATTTTGAACGAATCAATCACGTATTGCGTTCAAGTTTCCTGAAAAATTCATGTGATTTAGTAAACAATCTTTTTGACTAACGTTTTGTAATTTACTATCGTTTTGTTTTAACTCGGAATAGAATCTATTTCCACTAGATTTAGGAAATCCTTTTTTCAATCAATTTATTTAATTATTTGAATAATGAACTTCTAGCTAACCAATTTACCGTGTGTTAACCATGATTAATGATTAGCCAAGCCAAAGCGATGCAAAGCGGAATCAACTTAACCTGTAATAATTTCAAGAATAATAAATTCCATGTAAATTATCACTTCAATAAGAAAATAGTTTATTTTTCAACCCACTGCTTATGTAGAATAACATATTTTGGTTTTTTAAGCAATCACATTTAGGGTCTTATCTTAGGTCTTATGCAAATAACCGCGATAATTTAGCTAATAAATGTTGAATTCAGTTATCGATATTTTATCACACCGATTCGGCTGTTGTCATGTTACCCTTTGTTATTCCCAAGATCTACTTCTGTCAGTTGTCGGCCATTCAGTTGGTACTGCACGGTTGCTTTGGAGGTTCGTTCATCGACGAGGGGTGTTCGCAACACCGGCAGTATAGCAAAAACTAAAAATTGGCATATACACTAGTGTCATATAGCTGATCAACTTTGCCGAAGACTGCTACTTTCTAAATGGCCGGAATCTCGA